GGCTCTTTCTTCCCGGCACGTGACGTGGCTCCGCCCCGAGAGTGCCATTGGCCGCCGCCGCCGCCGGTGGGCGGGTGCGTGGGGGGCGCGGCCCGCGGTGGCGATCGGGGAAACTGAGGCCTCGGGCTTGCCCACGCGGGAGAGGGGGATTGGAAACTCAGCTCTCCGGGACCATGTGGGAAACTGAGGCAGGAGGATGGTGACCGGGAGTTCATGGGTACAAGAGAGGAAACAGCCCCGGGACCTCGGTTTTGGGGGGGACTAGTGGCTCGACCCGAGGCCACCACTTGTTAGGTTGAAGGCTGGGGGACGCGAGTGGGGAAACTGAGGTCCGGGAGAACGATGCAGTGGGGAAGCAGCCCCGCGCGGGTTGACGTGGGTCGGAAGCCCGAGGCCGGGAGTGAGTCTCTAAAGGGTTAAGTTCCACCCTCTCCGGCGACCCTCGGTTCATCCCATGACTGGGCCCCAGCGGAGCCCGCCAGCCAATTATAGAAAGGCTAGTTATTTCTCCCTCAGCCAATCAGTAGCAGCCGCTGGATTCCCGCCGCGCCCAATCAGAACGAAACTCCTGACTGCACCAAACTCCGACTCCGCCCGCGGGCAGCCGTCCACATCGGCCAATCAGCAGGAGCCCCCTGGCCTGACGCATCCAATCAGTTGCAGGGACTGGTCTTCAGCCAGCCAATCAGCTTCCGAACCAAAACCTGTCGCGCGGGTCTAGCCCCTCCCCGCGTGGACGGAGGAAGGGGCGGAGCTAGGCTGGTATCTCGCTCGGACGATGTGGGTCCAGCCTTTGTCCCCGGACCCTGTCCTGGGCCCTTTGCCCGGGGACTCCCCCAGCCGCCGGCAGGGCGGAAAGTCCGGGGTGGGGACGCCCCGAAGCTGCGGGCGCCGTGGACGGGGCTCAGACGCGAGTGCGTTTGCCCGGGCCCCCTGGGAAGAGGGGACAGGACACTGGGCGCGGGGCTGGCTCTCCAGGGAACAGGACCTGCCTTCCCACCTGGACCTTGATCACCTCCTCAGTGGGCCTCAGGCCTGCAAATTCGTCCCTCATCCTGTCCGTCTTCCACCCTGGCCCCAGAAGGATCTTTCTAAAGTGCAGCTACTATGACAAGCCCCTCTCCTGCTCTTAACCCTTCTATGGCTCCCTATTACCTTTGACAAATAAAATTAAAACTAACCCCTGTGACCTTTTTGATCACTTACAGCACTTCTATAGGGCAGATATTATCAACTTTATTAGACAGCTCAGCAGATGAAGAGATTGCCCAGAGTCACACACCTCTTCTGTGGATTACAAAGTCTATTCTTTGCTACGTGGATAAGGTCCAAGCAGCCTAGTCCTGTAACTATTAAGGAAATTGAACTTGGGTTTTTTTTGGGGGGGGGGCGGAGGCTGGCCAGTACAGGGATCGAACCCTGGACCTTGGTGTTATCAGCACTATGCTCTAACCAACTGAGCTAACCAGCCAGCCCATCAGCTGGCTTTAAAATAGGGAGATTATCCTGAATTATCTGGATGGGCCCAATGTAATCACGAGGATCCATTAAACTGGAAGAGAGAGAATCAGAGGGAGAGGTGACTACAGAAGAAGTTTGGTTTTTTTGTTTTTTGTTTTGGTTTTTCCTTCTATTTATAGAAGCTTAGAGTGCTCTCATATAAGAAGTCTTTTGTTCCTAGGGCCGGCCCGTGGCTCACTTGGGAGAGTGTGGTGCTGGTAACACCAAGGCCCCAGGTTCGGATCCCTATATAGGGATGGCCGGTTAGCTCACTTGGGAGAGCGTGGTGCTGACAACACCAAGTCAAAGGTTAAGATCCCCTTACCGGTCATCTTTTAAAAAAAAAAGTCTCTTGTTTCCGAAGGACCCCCTATTGCTGGCATTTTCTCTAGAAGCTGGAAGAGACAAGGGGACAGATTCACCCTTAGAGCCTCCAGAAAGAGACACTGGACACAGCCTCCCAACACTATTTTATTGATTTATTTTTAGTCAGCTGGCTGGTACAGGGATCCAGACCCTTGACCTTGGTGTTACAAGGCTGTGCTGCAACCAACTGAGCTAACGAGCCAGCTCCTAACACCTTTATTTTGGCCTAGTGAGATCCATGTAGGACTTCTAACCTACAGAATTGTACAATCACACATTTGTGTTGTTTTCAGCCTCTAAATTTGTGGTCATTTGTTACTAATACACAGGCTAAAGAAGAAAAATCATGATCATATCAATTGATGGAGAAAAACCATTTGACAAAATTCAACACCTATTCATGATAAAAACTCTCAGCAAATTAGAAGGAAGCTACCCTCAACTTGCTAAGGAATATCTACAAAACTTTAAACCGAACATCATACTTACTGTTGATTCACATATATATATTCTTTTGCATCTGGCATAGGGATCTGAACCCCTGACTTCGGTGTTATAAGGCTGTGCTCTAACCAACTGTGCTAACCAGGTGACCCCTACTTCCCACTAAGATTGAGAACAAGGCAAGGATATCCACTCTCACCACTCTGACTCAATATCATCAGAAAAGGAAATAAAAGGAATACAGATTGAAAAGGGAGAAATAAAACTCTCTTTGCAGATGTCACGATGATCTATGTAGAAAATCCCAAGAAAGCTACAAAAAAACACTCCTAGAATTAATAAGGGAGATCGAGAATGTTGAAGGATAAAGATTAACATGCAGGCCTGGCCGAGTAGCTCAGCTGGTTAGAGCACAACCTTGTAACACCAAGGTCAAGGGTTCAGATCTCCATCTGGCCAGCCGCCGAAAAAAGATCAACCACAAAAATCAATTGCAATACACGTGCGAAAAACTGAAATTAAGAACACAATGCTGTTTATAATACTTAGACGTCAATCTGACAAAACATGTACAGGATTTTTATACTGAACACTACGCCACGCAGATGAAAGAAATCAAAGCAGATTTAAATGAAGAGGAGACACACCATGTTCATGGACGGGGAGACTTCAGCATAGTAAAGATGTCAAGTTGCCCCAAGTTAATATGCAGGAGCAGGGCAATTCCTATTAAAATCCCAGCAAGGTGGCTTTGCTGACATAGGCAAGACTATTCTAACACCCAAGTGAGGTGGCCTAATGGGCGTTTAAGGGCTTTACATTAGGCCTCCATTGTGTCTTTTCCTGCTGTATCCCCTAGACGCTCAGGTACCACATTCTCTCCGTTCCCACTTCCACGTCTTTGCTTAGGCAGGGAGACCAGAGCGGCCTGCCGGGATTTCCCTAGGATCTGTGGACCTGCCCCGGCCCAGCCCCCGCCCAGCACCCAGCACTGGCAGGGGAGGGATCTGACAGGCTGATGATGAGAAAGGAAATTCCCCTGGAACCTGTTTCTCGGCTTCCGGGCTCAGCCAGGGTGCCCGCTGGAAGGAGACGCCTGGCCCAAGACCTGGGCCCACCATGGCCTCGGCCCTGAGCCCACCCCGGGTCCCCAAGCCCAAGGGGATCCTGCCTTCCCACTACTATGAGAGTTTTCTGGAGAAGAAGGGGCCCTGCGACCTGGTAAGGCAGGGCAGGGGGCCAGGCACATCTGGGCAGCCTGGGCAGATGTGGCAGCTCTCTGAGTCTCAGTCTCCCCACTGGCCAACGGGGGTGGCAGGTGGTGCTGGATGGGTCAGGGCACGTGCTGGGGCCCGGGGAGGGCTCTGATCATTTGTCTGTCTGTCTCTCTCTCAGTCCCTCTCTGTGTGTCTATCTCTGTCTCTCTCGGTGTCTCTTCCTCCGATTTGATTTCTTTCTCTCTTTCTCTGTCTCTCTCTGCCTGTCTCTGTCTCTCTTTCTCTTTGCCTCAGTCTTTCTCTCTGTCTCGGTCTCTTGGATATAAACAAGATCGGGGACTTCCTCCAGGAAATGGAGAGCCCTCTGACTCCCGTGCCTCCTCCTGCTCCCAGCCCACAATGAACCCATGAATCTCAGCTGTAGGGGTCAAGACCAGGGCAGGTGGCATGTGGGGACCGTGAGAGCTGGTGGAGGCCACATTCGGCAAGACCAGATACTAACCATAGGACTGATGTGTGTGTGCGTGGCTTCCTTGGGATAAAGTCTCAGCCCCCAAGTTCCCCTAAGGCCCCATCTCTCCCGTCCCACACCCCACATTTATTTTCTGCTATAGCCCAAGCCAACCACTCCCTGCTTTTCCTTGCCCTCCTCCCTACCCTTGTCACTGGGGCTCCCTCCATCTAAAGTGGCCTCTCCTTCCGTCCCCATGCGTCCAAATCCGTCGCAACCAACAAATCCTCTAGAGGCAGCGCATCAATGTACTTAAGAAAGATCATGGGCCCGGCGTTCAAGAGACCCAGGTTCACATCTCCGCTCCAAGCTTTTCTTACTCCCTGGCTTTACTCAAGTGAATCTCAATCTTTGAGCCTCAGTTTCCTCTATGATGAAATGGGTAGATTAGGGTTATTGTCATGGTTACAAGAGAGGGGTAGCTCTTAGCACATTGAGGACCTGACTCAGGGTGGCCACTTTACATGTGTTAACTCACCTAACCCTCACAAGAGACTCCAAGGTAGGTACCGTTATTATCACCATTTTATAGCTGGGGAAACTGAGGCACAGAGAGCTCAAATAACTTGACCAACAGCACGTAGCTGGCACGTGATGAGACAGGTCTGACCCTACTGATTTAATTACGTATTGCTCTATTCCCAGTGCCAGGAACAGTGCCTGGCACAGAGTAGGCCTCAGTAAGTGTTAGTTAAATGCATGTATGTATCTATATAGGTATTTATGAATGGATGGGCGGATGGATGAGTGGACAGATGGATGGATAGGTAGGTGGGTAGATGGGTGGGTGGGTAGATGGGGATGGGGGATGGGGGATGGATGGTGGGTGAGTGGATGGATGTGGGGGTGGATGGAACACCACAATGTTAGTTAGTTCAACTTACTCCGACATTCCCCACCTCCATAGGTTGGGGACTGCTCCCAGTCACCCATCCCATCAAGGCTCCGTTTGGTCCTTTCTCGGAGGATAATAGATACCCAGAAGCTGGGCCATGGGTGGGAGGGCCTCTCTGAAAAGGCAACATATGATCAGAAACCCAGAGCAGGTACTGAAGGTAGAGCTATGTGGAGATCTAGGGGAAGAGTGTCCAGGCAAAGAGAACAGCCTGTGCAAAGCCCCCGTGGCAGAAGTAGGTATATTGAAGGCGTCCGGCTCAGCAGCCTCACTTCCTCCCTTTCTCCACCTTTGGTCCCCAGGATTACAAGAAGTTCTGGGCAGGCCTCCAGGGTCTCACCATCTATTTCTACAAGAGCAATCGGGATGTCCAGGTAAAAATGGGAATGGGGGCTCAGGAGTTGGCCCACCCTTGACCCCAGGAATGAAGCGTAAGATGTATGGTGTGGCCAAGACAGCAGCTCCGTTATCCAGGTGGTGTGAAAGGCCACAGGCTTGGTGCTCAGACCCTCCGCTTCTGTGTCCCCAGCACGTGGAGAAATTAGACCTGGGAGCCTTTGTGAGGCTCACAGACGAGGCTCCCTGGGGAAGCTTGCGTGACACTGGCACCCACTTCAGCCTGGTCCTCCGGAACCAGGAGATCAAGTTCAAGGTAGGTTCCTTGTGGGAGCTGGTGGGAGACACCCCCTCCCCACCATGCCCACCATTAACACACACTAGTGTGGAGTTGCACAGATTCTTCCACTGGGCTGGTGACACTGGGCAAGTCACTCAATCTCTGTGTCTGAGATATCTGTGAAAGAGCCTGTCGGCAGAGGGAACAGCCAGTGCAAAGGCCCTGGGGCAGGAACATGCCTGGCATGTTGAAAGAGGACATGTAGCTGGAACAGAGTGATCGAAGGTGCGAGAGGGAGATGGGAGGCAGGCAGGTAATGGGGGTAAGTCGTTCAGGGCCTTGTGGGCCTCAGTGAAGACTTGGGCTTTTACCATGAGTGAGGCAGGAGCCCTGGGAGGGTTTAGAGCATCAGAGGTGTGTATGATCTGATTTATGTTTTTCAAATGTTTGTACAATAACATTAAAAAAATAATAATATCCCACATTACTGAGGACTTATATTCAG